TGATTCTATTAGTCGAAATAATCATAAATGAATTGGTCTGAAGAGATCAGTTAGAAGGATGAAACGCGTTACATAGGATTTTTTAATTTGTCATCTATCTATATCTATCTATATCTGAATCTATTCTATCTATCTATCTATATTATGAAAAAGAATTATATCTTTTATCAAATATATATATATATATATTTTCTATAAATGTTATATATATATAAACACCTTTGTTGCATTTGATAAAAAAAAAATATGGCGCCATTTCGTTTACATTACGTAAAAATCATTATAAAAATTTTACTTTTTGATTGTACAACTCAGTTTGTTGCCTTAATATTGCTACTATATATATAAAATTTTATATGAATTGATTGGACGTCTATTTTTTTGAAATATTGTGCAAGCCTAAAAAAGTTATCAAATTTTTCTTCACAAAGACCTTATTTAATTTATTTATTTCTGTTATTCTTTGTTACAGTGACAAGAAATAAGAATTAGTATCGAATTTTTTGAACGAAGATCCCGCATACTTGCTTATATGTCAAATATATATATATATATATATATATATATATATATATATATATATATATATATATATATATATATATATGTACGTGCTTTTTATTTATGTGTATTTTTTTGTATCTATTTATATATATATGAAAATATATATATTATTTGTTTCTGTTTCTGGGAATCGCTATTACCATGTTACACATATGCAATGGTTTTTCTGAAAAGTATTTTTTTTTTACAAATCCAACTGATTTAATGGAATTCGCTTGAAAGTAACGTTATTCTGATTCCATAGCTATGCTCTTGCGATTATTTATATTTCCTGCATTTGCTTGTTCATACCATAAGTATATTTGTGATAGTTGGAGTAGCAACATGACACCTCAAATCTCCATCGACTTTATTACTATTCTCACAGACCCGTAGATCTGGAAAGAAACTTGAAGCTTCTTTGAATTTATTATTCATATAAGCTCGCCTACCGTATCTTTGGCGCGGTTCCAAGAGCGCCAAATACTATTGGAAAGTTCCACACGTATTCTCAGCTTACTGTCTTCATAATGTTTTCAAGTTTTTTTCGTTCATATCTACGACAAGTCACATCGTTTTACTCACCTCAGTAAATGTCCGGTGATGCTTTTCTAATATTTTTTTGTTGTTGTTTTCTTTTATGTTCAAACTGTGCGTCTCTGTAATCCACCCATTTACGAATATGCTAACCGTATTTTCCTCACTTCCCAGTGAAGGCTTTCTTTCATTTTCTCTTTTGTTCTCAACAGTCTTTTAAATGTTTACATCTGTCAAATCCACTTTAATTACATGCATTGGAAGGTTGGACTAGCAAATCAAATCTCGGAGTATTTTAATTCGTTTATTATCTGTGACAAATCTCAGGTTTGTCCTGGTCTTACATAGTCAAACACATGTCTTTTGCGCAATTTCATGTCTATGCCAGTTTGTTAAGTTAATATATGATTTACCGAATGTTTTCTACACAAAGACCACATTTATTATATTTATTTATTTATGTACTCTTTGTGACACTGACGAGAAATAAGAATCAATATGGAATAATTCGAACGAAGATTTTATGAAAAGAACGCGCATACTTGCTATATGTTTGTGTGTGCTTGTCCACGGCAAGTGTTTGTGTGTGAATGTCTGCATGCGTGCGTACGTACGTGCGTGTGTGTAAGCATTTCATTATAACAAATACAGATTGAACATAAATATAGCATTTAGCTTTGGAAGCCATTGTAAATTTGATATCAGTAACAACTTCATTTCTTGCCCATGGGTGTCAGGATAATCGAAAGTCTCGAAGCTATCGCCTGAATTAAAGACGACACAAGTTTGCAGACGATATTTTTCACTGGTTGCTTAAAATTAACACTGAAAATATCACAGAAGGTCTCTTGCTCTCTCTCTCGCTATATATATATATATATATATATATATATATATACAAAACTTGTTACCTTATATAGTTTTTATTTTTTAACTTATTACCTTGTTACCTTATGTAGTTTTTATTTTTTCTTATATGTTTCCCTATTTTTTATTCCCCCAATTAGGCGTTACAGGGTTAATATTCACTGTCAGGATTAATATTCTCTGTCATTTAATACACCGTAAACTCTTTAAGATAGATATTTACTGCCTTTCCTGACACCTGTCTATTGTTTATCGTCTGACTTGTATTCTGAAAAGTCTGAACTCTGATTTAGGTATTTTTCGCATGTTAAATTCTCGGTTGACACTCTCCAATATTATTTCATGGATTTGTAATTTTTACTTCTTGCATCTTCAAATTCATATCTGGGTTGAGAGGACTGACGATCACTTTTATTGTCTGCCGAAATAGTCTATTCTCTACATGTAAAAATTGTTCTTGATTGTTTATATATTGCTTTGTATATATAAAGTACATCGAGCTCTCTTTTGTGGATCAATTTTAATATTCCTATCTTACTAGGGCTCACTTGGATTATATACCCACAAATTTTATTTTACCTTTACTATATCTATCTATCTATCTATCTATCTATATATATATGGTGATTCTGGGAAATAGCTTTGCCGATTGGTTCGCAGTCGGAATTTGATTGAATTAGGCAGGACACTCAGAATAACTCAATCGACTTTAATTTTCCGGCTAATGTATCTGCTAGTACGATACAAGACTGGCAATTTTTAATTCTTAAGATTGAGAAGAGGGAAAAGGTTTTTAATTAAAAAAGATGCTAAATGAAGAATTTCGAATGAGTTCAAAATGTCTGCGTCTATGAAAAGGCAATTCACCCTAAAATATTTGTAGAAGAGACAGAGGGAGGCCACGGCACGTTTGTGGAATAGCGATTGTAGACTAGATACCAGATAAGGACATATCATCTTGTATATTCATCTCTGGATTTTGTCAAGAACCTCGAGACGTACAGCGGGAGCACCAGACGATATATGACAGTAATATTCCATGCAAGGATGGATGGTTGATTTATAGATATGAAAGATGGACTCAGACGAGAAAATCTTTCTGGCACGACACAGAGAGCCAACTTTCCTTGCGGTAGATGAAGCTATTAATTCTAATAAATTATCTAACTTGCTAATTGGTAATGTGCTGAATGGGCCAAGCGATTTTATATGGAAGATATCTGGATGTTTGCACAATGAAAAATCAATGATTTGAAAATATTACAACCAATACTAGAAATCTCAGCGATTTATCCGGGAATCACGAAAATGTTTAAGGATTATATATCTTCTTTGGGTAACCATATCTACACTTTTCAAAGTTCATTCATAAAACGATGGATAAAACTAATTGATATATAAGATATTCAAACTTGTTCGTGATTTTGGGAACAGTCCAGATGAGAAGTTTTAAGCTTATCATTAAAAGTTAAATAAATGGGGCAAACGATCGCATATACGACACACAGAAACAAACGCACATAATTACTAGGGTGAATCAGAAAGTAAAAGCAATTTTGAAATTATGCAGTAACCCCCCCCCCCCAAAAAAAAAAAACAGCAGGCGTTGACCTCCGACACCATGCACCCACATGGAATGACGGGAACCTCGTCGCTTGCAGCATTCTATCGTGCAGTCGAGTGGCAAGGAGCAATAAGGTTTGACCTATAGACGCTACAGTCAGCGATTGCACCATCGAGGAACAACGCGCTCTAGTACACCTTCTGTAGGCAAAGGTAGTCAAAGCGGCGGCAAAATCATCGCCGAATGTTGGCCCACTATAGAGCACGCACCACGAATCAACGAAAGCTGTATGAGTGGATGGAACATGTTGAAGCTAGAAGAACAAGTAGTGACGGACACAAGCCGGTCTGAGCATTCATCACATCGGACAGAGAACAACACATCCAGAGGGCGGACGCCTTTTACAGGGATGATCAACGAATCACGTTAGTACGTGGAGGAAATCATGAACATCAGTTCTTGATCTGCACAAGCTATAATGCATAATGAATTAGGGTACCGTAAGCAAGTAGTGGCACAACCTAAAAGCTTCAGGAAAGCCGAATTGCTTCTTTTTGAGAGGAATGATGAAGTGCATTGAACGATACTAAAAGTCACATATGCATTTATTCTTGATCACTGTAAGTAAAGGTGTTGTATAGAAATTTCTTTACTTTCTTATTTGTTCAGCATATGCAGTCATATTTGAATACATACACATTATATCTAATATCTATACATAAGTAATTTTGAAAGGCTATTTTGTTCAAATTAATTGTTATTACTACAAAAGATACTTTAATATATTTCCTTCTTTGAGTTGCTATCGTCGTTCTTTGTAAATTTAGTAAACAGAGAAATTAATAACAACCGGCTTAATTTGAAAATTCTTACTAAATAAAAATTGTGCTTCTGAGAGGAATCTAAATTACATCCATTTTTTCCATCTGAAAAACGACTTCTTGTGCGACAGTGTGTCTCTACCAATTCAGCAACGATGACCTGACTGACAGTGTAAGGTTGGAATTATTTATTTTAAGAAAGAACCTTTTTTCTCATTGTGTTTTCAACAAATCTGATAGCTTCAGTTTCTTA